CAGGCTAAACGTCAGGGAATATCAACCTATCACTCAATGGGAAGAAGATGATGGGCTCTATTAAAGCATAACAGAGCACCACCTCTGTTATATACAGATCTCTGAACAAAGCAGCAAAGCGATAACTGATACAGAGCAACAAGGCAACGTGTTATACACATTTTCAAGCTTTCATCACTTTCATCTTTCTCTATTCTCTGAACTGTTCTTCATCTGGTTTACATCTTTCCTTCAGAAATTACAGTGAGCTTTAGTTTTAATCATATACACCTATGAGAGGATTTATAGAAAAATTCTGAGCTTCATTTTTGTGTATCTATCTTTGAGAGATTACTGTTGTAGCTTTCTTTGAAAGCAAAAACACCCTCATTTCAATCTTGTAAGAATGTAAGAATGTAGTACACTCAGGTTTCTTGATTCCTTGAGAGATTATGAATCACCTAAGGTTTGTAAGGGTTTGAAGACTTGTATAGTCTTTGTAAAATCTGTGGAGGATTGCTCCATTTGTGAAGTGATTGCTAGCATCCCTGTGAAGCTAGAAGTTAGTGGAAGATCTCAAGTGAAGCTTGAGGAGTAGATGTAGGCTTGGTTGAAGCCGAACCACTATAAATCTGTTTGCCTCCTCTTCTTTAATATTTTTAATTCCTCAACTACTATAGCTATCTGATATACTCAATGTGTTAACATATATAGTAGTTGTTGTTTTTGTCCTAAACATCTAATCTCTTAATTTCATCTACTGTTATAGCTATATATAATATAATCACTGTGTTAGCCATTTCACTAAGTACTTGCTATTTTGTGCTAAATCTTTGCTTACCTATGACAGCTAAATCCATTGCAAATTTATCTAAGTCATAACTTGTTGTTTATTCCTCTTAAGCTTTTAATCATCTTATTCATATACAGAATTTGTTGCTCTTCGTACTTCACTGATAATTCTTCATTGAGCTTGTTCATTAACTGTTAGTTATCTTCTTTTTATCAGTTAATCATTTGCTATACTAGTTGTTGATTTTATTGGGGTATTATTAATTTTAATCTATAGAAACCTAATTTACCCCCTCTTAGGTTGCTTTTTGGATAATAATTGTAATTAACAAATCCTAAAAAGTATACGATTTGAATCACCAAAATTGGTCCCAAAATAAGCTTAACAAATCCAAACATTCACTCTAATTGAAATCACAATTTTTTGAGAAACCAACCATTTTTAAAATGATGGAGGAAACACTATGGTACATCCTTCTCAAAAGGTGTGTACCATATATACCTTATAACTAAATAAGAAAATCACATAATTTCATATTTTTTGAGTTATAACCAAAAAAAATTTAAAAAAGTTACAACCAAACACAATATGAGGCATAACTAAAAAATTCATGAATCATAGTTAAAATAATGTCATAACTAAAGAAAAAAATTAATCATAACTAAGGTATGATGCACCGCTGTAAAAAGTGTGTATATTAAAATTTTCCAATTACGGAGGTATTAATGTAAATTTTACCTTTTGTATGCCATTTTTTCATTCAAATCAATCGGTGATACCATATCTTCACATTTTGGAAAACTACATACAAGTGGAAAAGGACGAAAAAAAATTACTTGCATTTTACAGCCTTTATTTGCACCCTATCATAGACATACTTGCATCTTTGTATGTTTGTAGTTTTTTTTCTATCTTCCACCTGCATATAATCTCCCCTCATATTTTTGGCCCTGGTCTTGTACGGAGAATCTTCCTATGGCTTTGTTCTGGAAATTGACTATTTTAGCTGGTTATTTGGTCTTTTTGACTATTTTAACTTGGTTAAAAAAGTTATGTTTAGGAAATTTGTTTCCTTTTTTATAGTTGATTTGATGTGTGAGAAAAAAATAAAATGATTATTGATTTGTGATCTTGTCTTTTTAATTATTTTAACATATTTTATCTTTTAATAACTTGTTTTAATCTCAACTCTCTTTCCAAACACCCTTATATATCTTATCTTAGCTTAAAAGAATATGAGGAATTATTTAACAGTGTAATAGAAATAAAATTACACAAATAGAAAGGCAGACAAGTGAGACTTTGGTCCCACAAATTTTTGTTTACACATCATTACAAAATTCATTACACTTTTTATATGTTTGTAATTTTTTTTTCTACCCCCACTATAGGAAAAAGAGGTTTAGGTGGCGTTTTTTTAACGACGGTTTTTTAAACGTCACTTTTATTAGTATTTAATGACGTTTTATAAAACGTCGCATAATTCTTTATGTAAAATGACACCATTTTATAATTGGAGGCGTTTAAAAATGGCTCCAAATGTGCTGTGCCTCACGCGCTTCCTCTCTCACTCTTTTCAAATTCTAATTTTGAATCTGAGAAATATTATGCCCAAATCTCGAGCGCGCTCTGTCTCTCTCTCTAAGTCCTTATCATTCTCAGAGCGATTTTGAGATTTAGAGGCTCCACCGCCATCACCATCTGCACCGGCGAGGTAGGTGAGCTCTCTTTCACACATTCTGTCTCTCTGTCTCTCTCTCTCTCTCTCTCTCTCAACCCCCTTTAAACCCTTATCATTCACAGAGATTCAGATCGGTCTCAGTGATTTCATCTCAGAGCGATTTCGATTTCGATTTCGATTTCGAAGCTCCACCTCCACCACCATCTGCACCATCGTCTACTAAGGTGAGCTCTGCCGTCTCTCTCTCTCTCTCTATGAAACTCTTCCTTTCTGTCTCTCTCTCTCTCTCTCCCTCTCTCTGTGTGTTTCAGTGATTGATGAGTTGTATGTGCTCTGTTTCAGTAATTGTTTTTCACTGATGAGTTGGATGTACTGTAATGTCAGTTCTGGCATTCACTTGATTCATTTGAGATTCATTTGATTTTGCTATGATATCACTCCATTTCATTTGATTTTGGTTTGATTTTGCTGTGATTTTGCTGTGGTGGTAGAAATTGATGGTTTGTTTGTTTTGTTGTAATCTCATTGACTGTGGTTTGTTTGAGGAAATTTTGCTTAGTATTTGTGGAGTTGAGGTGTACAAGTGACAACACCCCATTTCCAACCTTCGACAAAAATCTGGTTGTAGAAAATACAGGCATTCACCCCATTTGTAATCTCTATTTCTTGTTTTTTTGTTAAAGTTGTGGATCTATTTGGTTTCTGTTTCTATACTAGTTTCTAGGGTTTTGTTTTGTGTATTCAATAACAGAGGAAGAAAAAAAAAATGAAATCTTTCAAATATAGAGTTTCAGAATATCCAAAAGACCATTTGGATTGAGTGATTTGATGAGAAATGATGAGAAAAACAAGTATTTTTCATGTTTGGTTTAGAAATTAGGTAGGAAATGGTGAGAAATTATTTTTATTTTGTTGCTAATCTGGAATAAGCCAAAGCAAACCAATCCCTTGTGACTGTGTTCTAACTGATTGAGGAAGGCTACATGAGCTTTTCTGAGTTATATGCTCAGATAAATTAATTAAATCCATATTCTTAATACAAAACATAGGAATAATGATATAATTTTGTTTTGAACATTGGATAAGGATACAATTGAGAATGCAAAAAATGCTATATATGTTTATACAAAATACAATTCAGTTTGGTCTCAAGATTTGTATACCCTCTAGTGGATCTATTGTCTAACTGGGTCTAACCTAACAATTTGGTCAGATATGAATTTGGACTAAGATGTATGTATGGTTATACAAAATAGCAACTGCCTATTTTTTGCCATCTCTAATCTAGAGTTTTGTCTTGGTAACTGCTCTTTCAGGTGCAAAGATGTTGCCGCAGTAGATATCAATATGGGTTGCCCAAAATCATTCTCTATTAGGGACGGAATGGGTGCTGCATTATTGACTAAGCTGGAGCTTATTCATGATGTATGTGGTACATGGCATTCATGGAGTTCTATTTTTCTTTTTCCTTCTCTGTTCATTGTTTGAACTAAAAACTTTAACCCTCATGTTGTTTCTCTGTTGATCTAGATATTGACGACATTAAAGCGAAACTTGGACACACTAGTAACATGTAAGATTCAACTTCTAAAATCATCCCAGGATATGGTAGAATTAGCACAGAGAATCGAGAAAGCTGGTGTTTCTTCTCTAGCTCATTTGGATGATTAATGGTTTGGGATATTTCTAAACTCTAGCATAACACTGAATATTTTATTTATTTATTTTTGGAGTACTGAAATTTGGTTGGTGCACTCTGTTGAAGCTTTATTGTTACACAATTAGCTTTATTTGCATTTGAAATTGCATGATGTCTTGTTCAATTAGCATTGTTCAGATTAGAAACTGAGATGAACCACCCGAGTTGTACGGATCCATGGTTCGAATTGTTAGGCTGTAAATGTTCACCGAACCTTTTTTTTCTTCTCCTCTCTCTCTCTCTTTCTCTCTTAGGGGTTGATTTGTGGCTTGTACATTTTTTTTCTTGTTTATTTGTTATGTCCCAAGTAATAAGATATTTCCATTTTAGGACTCGCCAAACTTTTGAAGCTTACTTTGTATCATGTTTTGTGTTTTTCAGGTTATGCAAAGCGGGTGAATTATTGGATAGAATAGTTCCTAGGTACTGTATTTTCATATTTTCTTCTTTCATGGCAGTCTTTGGCCTATTCTGCAATCTTTTGGCCATATAAATTTCTGATTTATGTTCTCTAGAGGTGGAAAATACTCGGAAGAAGATGCAAAGGCTGTCTTGGTACAAATTTTGAGTGTGGTTGCCTACTGTCATATCCAAGGTGTAGTTCACCGTGACCTCAAGCCTGAGGTAATGAACTCGGACATTTTCATTATTTTCTTGGTAATTTATAGAACTTAACGTGGAAAATATTACATCTTGAAGCAAGTTCCGGATAGTGTGTTCACACATAACCGTACTAATAGGCTTTAAAACTGTTTTTAACATTTTTCTTCTCATAATCATAAGTTAATCAAAACATGGGATATAATACACAATTTAAAGAGATCAATAATTCTAAAGCTAACAGACATTAATTTCATCTAATCTAATCCATCCTAACAAATATGTCCTAAATGGACAATGATCTCTAATAGCGTTTCAAAGTTGTTTTCATTCATCTCAAATATGTCCTGTCTTTACCTTTTGGCAGAGCTAATGCTTTTTGGACTTGTGTCATTGGTAATGGGTCATTGGATCAATCAAGTGAAAGCGTTGTTACATAATTTTCCCTCTTGTTGGCTGCAGCCAGGAATGGTAACAACTGATCTTCTGTTGTCTGGAGCTTCTACAAAGCAGGTAGAATTTGTATTGCATATTTCCTTGATTTCTTTTGTGAAGCTTTTGGATCAATCAAGTGAAAGCGTTTTATTTATTTCAGGCCAAGTTTTTCATTAATGTTTTGGCACAACCGGCAGAAGTGGTAAGAGTTTATTGATGTGGTGATCTACCTAAGGGAGTGATGTACAAACAATGTTTTTAATTCCTTGTTTTTGAGTTTTAGGTGCTTGCTTTGTTTCAATAGTCATCTGAATTAATGATTATGGATTGTGATGTTCGATGAAATAAATCATATGGTTAGGTTTTCCAAATAGGCAAATGCACATACAAGACTTAGAGATGGACCGTTTAGACACAACATTCTAGGCTATGATCAACTACTGATTGAATTATGTGTTGAGTGCTCAAATGAATTTGGGAAGAAAAAAAAGAAAACCGGACTTCTGAAGATCATATTCAAATGTGATGTGTAAGTTTTTGACCATATTCATATGCAAACTAGTCCTCTAGATAAGTAGCAAAACATATTAAAGAAATGAACACATATTTAATTTATGTATCATTTGGAACAATTATATTCTATTTTGTTGCATTTCCTTTTCTTTTTGCAACTCGCCTTGTGTGTGCATGCGCTTATGTGTTTATGCGAGTGAGGGCATGCATGTAGGTAGCAGAGTACCTCGTCCCAAACATCAGATCTGTCCCTGCCAATGGATTGAGCAAGCCCACTTACATTCAATTCCTTACTGGCTTGAAAGTATACTCTCAGATATTCTCAGTTAAGTGGAAAAAAAAAATGAAAAGAAATTTTGATTCTTGGTTTTCTATATTTAAATTGTGGTTATTAATCGTTTTGTTTTTTGGCTGTATTGTGTAGAGATTTGCCTTTGGTGCAAGGAGGAATCGATATCTGCTTGAAGATTGATAAGGATCAGAAGTCTAATATGTCCATACAACATATTTTCTTTCACATAAAATTTGCTACTCTCTCTCTCTAGCTTTTGTGGTCAAGATTTGCATTAAATCATTGGCCTAAGCCAGCTGTTTCTCTCCATGTGTAGCAAACTCAAATGTTTTGGAGAGACTGTCTCTACAATGCCTTACAATTATTTGCTTATTATTGTGCTAACCAAGATTGTAGAAAATTGATGTAGAAGTTCTGTTGAAATTATATTTTTCTGCTTGTCGTGTTGAATTTGTTATTTGATAGGTTTGCAATACATGTGTGTGATACAATATTTTTTCTTTTTATTTTTTTGTTGTGTTTGTTGCTTGATTTTGGTTTAGAATATTTTTTCTTTTTAATTTTTGGTTGATTATGGTTTTGAAATCTAACAGAATGCACAATCTATGAAGAAAAAAAAAGAGAGGCTATAACGGCGTTTTTCCAAACGCCACTACAGTGCCAAGTCATATTTTAAAATAGAAAAAAATCTATCACGACGTTTTTAAAACGTCGCTAAATACAGGATGACGTCATTTTATCGTTATTTACCACATTTAGCGGCGTTTTTAAAAACGCCGTCTATACTAATTTAGTGACATTTTTAAAGCATCATAACATTATAGCGACGACCGCATCTTCGGCGCTTGGTACTAAACGTCACAAAAAGAATTAACGGCGTTTTTTATACCTATAACGGCATTTTTTAAATGTCACTAAATGTAAAATTTTTAGCAGTGTCCACTGTTAAGTAATTTTCCGGTAAGAATAAGACTATTTTGTTGAATTTACACTTTACTTCCTATGTCTTTCGTGTGCCGAGATGCTTTTCTGATGCATGGAGGCCACGTCTTTAATTTGTCTTTTAGGAACAATGATGGTTGAGGAGTTGCTTTTCTGATGCATGTAGGCCACCTCTTTAATTTGTCTTGGGAACAGGGATGGAATTAAGAGAATATTATAAGAGTCATAGTCTTTTTTATTTTGGTGAAAAATTTTGTTTATCATATCACTTTTAAAATATATATCTTATTTTATTAATAATAAAATAATTTCTTAGTATAAAATATATAGATCTCATTCTTCTATTATCTTACATTCTTTTCTTTTTTTTATCAAAAAATTTCTTTATAGATAAAGAGATTACTCTTATAGTATTTGAATATTTTTATGTGCACATATAGTTTATATATGATATTATATATACATGTGTGTTTGTATATATGATAAAAAATATTTATTTATCTTCGACTCCTTCAGTAATAAAATCCTGATTTCATCCTTGCTGGGGAACAATGATGACTGGACATAAAGGTTTGAAATAAACCCATACCATTAATATATCAATTAATATTTTAATAAATGATATAACATAATTTTAAAAATTTTAAATTTTTATACTTAATTTTAAAATAATAATGTTATATTAATGTTTGAGAGAGGTGTCTTTCGAGTTGCCACGTGAGAAAAGGCAAGAAAAGATGAACGAGAAAAAAAAAATTATGAATGATATATTTTTTTTCCTTCTATGGCCCTCTTTCTTCTGCCCATTTTCTTGAATAGATTATTTGAAAAAAAAAATTAACAATATATAAAAGAGTGTACTTTCACAACCTTTCATTTGCACCCTATTATAAACACACTTATACCTCATTTATTTGTAATTTTTTTTCTCCTTCTCCTATCTGTATGTAATTCCCCCTAAATTATTCTTACGATTTTGTTTTCACAATGGTGTAAATTTTTATTTTATTCTCATAATTTATAAATTAACTATAAAATACTATTTTTCTAATATGTATTTCTTTTATATTTTTATCAAAAATTTTATTTTAAAAATATAATTACAAATACCACGTACGTTATGTATACCACCACTACTATAAAGTAAGTATATAAGAAAGATAGATTAAAATGTCCTCAAATTTATTATTCATGTGTTATTGTAGGGAGATGGTTTGGAAATACTCTTCTGATCTTGGGGGACGCTCGTAATTCTCCGCTAGCCACCTGAAAAAGAATTAACACTCCGGTCGGGGGTGCCGGAATTAACACTCCGACGGGCAAGTTAGTCTCTTCTCTCTGAATTACTTGTATTTTAGGTTAAGTGTAATGGTTCTCACGTACGTCCTTCTGGATGATGTTCTTCTATTTATATATTTTCTTTCTTGGGCCTCAGGGCTTGGCCCACCTTTAGTTCGCCATTCGACTTCTTTTAGAGCAAACTGCTTTTCACTCGGCCCCTTACCCAACCGGTCTTTTGACTGAATAGGGTAGGATTTGAAATTGCGGGACGAAGCCGAATACTATATTTATATTCCAACTCTCCAAGTTCAGCCATTCGGCCTCTTTACGATCCCCATTATTCGGCCCCCACAATTGCCCCCCAAGCACCCCACTAATGACAGTTGGTTGGAGTGTTTGGTTTCGAACTCGAAACGTTAGGGCCGAAATTCGGCGACTGTCCTCATTCCAATGCAAATGTCTGAGCACACGCTTCTCAGTCATCATTTCAACTTCCCGCCCCTTCATACACTTCTATTTATTATGATTTAAAATTTGGACGTCCTTTCAAATACATATACACTTTCAGATACTTGTCTCTGGACTTTCTTCCGAATTATCTCTGCAACTTCCTTTCCTTCACTATCCTCTTCGTCTCTTGTAAGTTTTCTCCCTCTCTGCTCTAAATCCTTTTTCTTGGTTTGTTTTTGGTTTAGAATATACCTATAAACTGAAGAAAATGGCAAAACATTTGAAAGATCTCCTCTCTTCGGATCGAATTTCTGGCTTCCAATGCCATTTTTCCATTCCAGATGACGTCCGTCTATCTCTCGTGACAGACGGCACCCGCGACATGGAGGGGGCTGACGAAACCACGATCGTCTTCCCTCTCCTATCAATCACAGAGGGTGAAGTCCGATTCCCCCTTCACCCACTCCTTAGGGCTGTGCTCTGCCATTGGGGTCTAATTCCTTCCCAACCCAATGTCAACTTCTTTAGAATCATAATGGGAGCTGTAAAGCCAAACCGTCGCCTTAGGATCAACCTCGGTATTCCTGCCATTCGGCATTGTTACGCCTTGGCCAAGTTTTCCGATCGGCACGGTCGTTATTTCCTTAGGGCCAAGGACACCGACCATCAACTAGTGACTATGCTTTCCAGCTCTAGGAAGCGAGTCGATGACGTTATGGTCGTTGTCTAAGGCAACTGGCAATTCCGCGATTTTTCCATTCCAGATGACGTCCGTCTATCTCTCGTGACAGACGGCACCCGCGACATGGAGGGGGCTGACGAAACCACGATCGTCTTCCCTCTCCTATCAATCACAGAGGGTGAAGTCCGATTCCCCCTTCACCCACTCCTTAGGGCTGTGCTCTGCCATTGGGGTCTAATTCCTTCCCAACCCAATGTCAACTTCTTTAGAATCATAATGGGAGCTGTAGAGCCAAACCGTCGCCTTAGGATCAACCTCGGTATTCCTGCCATTCGGCATTGTTATGCCTTGGCCAAGTCTTCCGGTCGGCACAGTCGTTATTTCCTTAGGGCCAAGGACACCGACCATCAACTAGTGACTATGCTTTCCAGCTCTAGGAAGCGAGTCGATGACGTTATGGTCGTTGTCCAAGGCAACTGGCAATTCCGCGAAGGCGAGGATCGCCTCAATCCTATTCCTAAACGGAGGGGCGAACTAGGTGGCCGTATGGCCTCTTGCGTTTATTTTTCCTTTGTTATATTTGTAAAGCTTCACTTTTGGGACCTAATGGTTTTGCTTGTGCAGGAAACGATTTGAAGAAAGTTTCAATCTCGACCAACGACGCCGTTCTTTCGGAGATAAAAGTTGTGTTGAAATACTTCGGCCATCCAAGCCGCCAGAAACAAGGGAGAGCGGCCCGTATTCTGCTTCAATACGAACCGACGTACACGACTTTCTCAACAGCAGAAAATATCCTGATTCCAAGGGGCGAGGAGTTTCCAACGGCTCTTATTTTGACCAACTTCAGAAACTTGCGCCAAATCGGCGTCGAAAGATCCGACTCGAAGCGTGCAGAAGTTGAGGTCGCTGAAGAATCTGGCTAGTCCGAGGCCGAAGTAGACGAGGCTTTAAAGGTAGCCTTTGAAGAAGCTAGCCTCAATTAAGCTAACCCTCCATCCACCAGGGGTCGAGGGGAAGTTTACGACGACGTCTTTATCGGACTAGAAGATCTTTCCGGCGCGTACCCTGAAGATATGGTCGGGTTGTCACTCACATAACTCACCAAAAAGGCAAACGCCGAACGAATGGCTACGCGGCAGAGAGCAGAGGCCATTTGAGCAGAGGCCAATCGATCCGAGGTGCCGCCCGTCATAGATGTTGAGCCACCCATGCCTGTTATTGAGGAGACGGTTCAAATACGAGATACAGAGTCGGAACCGATCGTGCCGGCAAATGAGGAGACTGAATGACGGACGGAGAAATGTCCTGCCGAGGTTGAGGTCGACTCTGGAGAAGAGCCCGCCGACAAACGGCCGCATTTAGAGGAGTTGGAAACAGTTGTGCCTTTTGTGGTTCAGCCAAAGATAAGAAATATGCTGATCTCCTCTGACGCGTCGGCTATAAAAGACCTAGCCGTTGCGTTGAGTATAGCTTCATCAGTTTCATTGCCGTTTAACAAGGTAACTTTTTGCTCAGAGCCAGACGTTTTAGCAGTAGCGTTAGCCGCTCCATCGGCTTTTCTGGTAAAAATATATTTTTGGATTTAAACTCCTTTCCCTTCTATGCATATATTTTTGGATTTAATCTCCTGTTTTACAGACGGTCAGAATGATAGCCGAGATAGGCCGCCGCCAGCACGATGCCATAGAACGAATTGGCCGTTTACAGACCGAAGTTGAGGGCCAAAGGAACCGGGTCGAGTTCGAAGCTATAACGGCAAAAATGGAAGCTGCAAGGGCCGAGGACGAGTTAAAGAGGGCTAGAAATGCAGACCAACTCAGAATGGCTGCCGAGCAGAGGGCGGACGCGAGCGAAGCTGCACTCAACTTAGCCCAACAGGCGATCGCCAAACTTAAGGCAGACTTGGCGGAATCGAAGACGGTAAAGGAAGTTACCAAATCGGAAGCTTCGAAGGCGTATGAGGCCGGGCAAGGTGCTACCCTCAATAATTATGTGCAAGAAGTCCCCAAATTCGAGAATCGGGGATTCAAACACGGCTGGCTCAAAGCTCTTGATGCTGCTAATGTGACATTGGCTATGCCAATTCCATACGAGCAAGTGGATGTTGGGCCGCTGGAGTCTGACTCCGAGGATTGATCAGGGCAACAGTAGTTTTTGTTTACAGCTTCTGTTTAGTTTTTTATGTATGGCTACAGGTTTTAAATTTTCTCTAGGCATTCTAGGCATTTCCCTGCAAATTTGTAGCCTTTTGTTTAGCAGTGTTCATATGTAAAATGGCTACAATTTGTGCCCAATTTACTTAATGAAAATTCCTTTTGCACTTTGCTATTATTTGTGCTAAATTGTGTTATTGGATCATTCATTCATGCATACTTGCCGACTAGATAATTAGGCAATTTTAACTTCAAAAAGGCAAAAATTAGTTCATGGAGTGGCTGTGGCACATATCGATCGGCAAGGGGCCTAGATGCTTGGCCAGTTAGATTAATAAATCTGCTCTTGCCGCAGCCAGTGCATGAACTCCAAAACATTCATGTATAATTGCTGTTTAGATAATTATGCAATTTTAACTCCAAAAAGCCAAAAATTAGTACATGGAGTAGCTGTGGCACGTGTCGATTGGCAAGGGGCCTAGATGCTTGGCCGATTAGATTAATAAATCTGCCATTGCCGCAGCCAGTGCGTAAACTCCAAAACATTCATGTATAATTGCCGTTTAGATAATTAGGCAATTTTAACTCCAAAAAGCCAAAAATTAGTACATGGAGTGGCTGTGGCACCTGTCGATCGGCAAGGGGCCTAGATGCTTGGCTGGTTAGATTAATAAATCTGCCCTTGCCTCAGCCAGTGCATGAACTCCAAAACATTCATGTATAATTTTCGTTTAGATAATTAGGCAATTTTAACTCCAAAAAGCCGAAAATTAGCACATGGAGTGCCTGTGGCATGTGTCGATCGACAAGGGGCCTAGATGCTTGGCCAGTTAGATTAATAAATCTGCCCTTGCCCCAGCCAGTGCATGAGCTCCAAGACATTCATCTATAATTGCAGTTTAGATAATTAGGCAATTTTAACTCCAAAAAGCCAAAAATTCGTTTTCTTCACCTTCTTGGTTGGGAGTCATCTTTTGAGGTAGCGATAACCTACTCCTCACTATGGGTTTTGTCTTTAAATTTTAGTATTTTGAGATGTTGGGGTTGGTTTGGTTAGATTAATAAATCTGCCCTTGCCCCAGCCAGTGCATGAGCTCCAAGACATTCATCTATAATTGCCGTTTAGATAATTAGGCAATTTTAACTCCAAAAAGCCAAAAATTAGTACATGGAGTGGCTGTGGCACGTATCAATCGGCAAGGGGCCTAGATGCTTGGCCGGTCAGATTAATAAATCTGCCCTTACCCCAGCCAGTGCATGAACTTCAAGACATTCATGTATAATTTCCATTTAGATAACTAGGTAATTTTAATTCCAAAAAATCGAAAGTCAGTACATAGAGTGGCTGTGGCACATATCAATCGGCATCCGTCTTTTGGAGTTTAGCGTTAATGAAATCGCCTCGGGGTCGCTGCAAGCATTAGATATAGCGATCCCGGGTTTCATACCTTGTTGTACAGTAATCCGGACGTGTGTCCGTAGATGTTAGTAGTTGTTATTATCTTGTTACATCCTTCCATACTTTGTTTCTGAGTTATAGGATGTGTTGGGCAGGTTTGTTACAGGTTGGTTGAGTTTAGAAACCAAAACTAGTTGCCCAGATTTTGGCCTGTCCGCTCGAGCGGGGGTTTTGGCGCTCGAGCGGGAATATCACCCCTCCAGTATTTCCTGCGCAGTGTTGGACGCTCGAGCGAGGGATTGGCCGCTCGAGCGGGAGTGTGAGAGTGACGCTCGAGCGGGGAGTTGGACGCTCGAGCGGGAGACCTGTCTGCAAAAGTGCTGGGAGTGCGCATCCGATGGTCGAGCGGAGGATTGGCCGCTCGAGCGGAAGTCTGTGAGTGCCGCTCGAGCGGGAGTTTTGCCGCTCGAGCGGGGCGATTGGGTTAAAGCTCCGTGTTTGGGACATTTTAAATCACTTTTTTCATTTTTTTTCTCTCTCTTATTTTTCCAAAAACCCCATTGTTGAGCTTCTCACTCTAGGACTCTACCTTCTCTCTAAGTATTGATCTAGTAGGAGTGATTTTCTCACCTTTGGCCTTTACAAAAAAGTTGTTGATCGTCGAGGGCTATCTTTTGATCCGAGAAATTCGTGGTTTGGAGCATTTTCGTTTTCTTCACCTTCTTGGTTGGGAGTCATCTTTTGAGGTAGGGATAACCTACTCCTCACTATGGGTTTTGTCTTTAAATTTTAGTATTTTGAGATGTTGGGGTTGGTTTGGTAATTTTGTGAAAGTTTGGGGCTTTTGTGTAAATCTACAAAAGTTGGGCTTTTAACTATATAAAACCTAGATGCATGTTTGGCATGGAAAAGTGAAATTAATGTTAAAACATTAATGAAAATGGAACCTAAGGGTTGTAATGTTAATTATGGAAAATGCTCTAATTACATTGGTTAATTAATTCGCATAATTAATTATGAGAAATGAGGAATTGATTTGGAAAGGTATGGGATTAAAGGGTGTAGTTGGATTATTTATCGCTCACCTAGTTGAAATATTGATTATATATCCATTGTTGCATTTATTTTCTGTATAAAAATAACTGCTTTAGGCTATCAGTGGAGGATAGTCTTGATTGTTGTAGACAATGCATGATGATTAGGCAAACTGAAACTAATCACTGGAATGTGTCATTGAGTATGACGGTTGAAAGAATACAATAAATTTATGTATTGTGTGATGATGTGTATAATTATTGTTTATATGCATTGTGTCGTGATGGAGGAGATAGGGGATGTACTCCACGGTTTAGGGGATGATAGGGGACGGACCTCTAAACCGGATGTTGTTGGGAGAAGATAGGGGATGGACTCCATAGATAGAGCTCATATGCTTATCTAGTAATGTGCTGACACAGCTCATATGCTTGTCTTTGGAAGTGTGATAGTGCTGATTTGTTCACCAAATTTCTCTAGACTTCGAAATTTCTCTAAATAATCTAAGCACAATGGGAGCATTAAGATTGGTCCCCTCTCTTCCCCACTTTAACATGTAATACTTATGTCTTGGAATTCTAATGAATGAAAGGAATGTGGTTAGTTTAAATGTAAATGCATGTCTTATCTGATGGGTTTATTGTTATTATTTTGAGGGCGTTACAACTTGGTATCAGAGCGTACCGGGTTCGAATACTTTGGGTACGTGGGAAGTGATTAGTATCACAATGGGTTTGTCTCGCTTGGTTAGAGACTCAGATGTAATGTTATGTGTTACGTGATAACATGCTTATGTGATTATTTGGGTATGGGATTTAACTTCTAGGATGTTGATTGGATCCTGGGGTTTCTGAGAGTCTTGTTGGAAAAGCACTTGATCAATGCTGTTTCTAACTGGAACTCTAGTAACGCCTCGGGAGTATCATTATCCGGAAATGAAATTCGTAAGTGCTTATGTGTTTGTGTGCTTACGTGGAATGAATTATGGTTGTCCATGCATTAGGACGTGAGTGTTTAGTTTCAGCACATTTATGAATGTGCTAATGTTCTGAGTTACCTTTATTAAGATGTCAGGACGAGGACGCGGTAGGCGTGGTAGGCAGGAGATGCCTTTACCGGAGAAGGTTCCAGCAGTGCAGGAGGGAGTTGGTCAGGCCAATGTGGCCGAGCCAGTGGGTCAGCAGGCTATGAGTGCCTTGGCACGAGAGATAGCAGGAGCTTTGGGTATTCTCAGAGCTGGGAATCAGGCAGCTGAGGCAGGGGCCTTCCTTCTTGAAGAGGGAGTTCTTCCGGTCTAACCCGGATGAGTTTGTTGGGGATCCAAAGGAGCCACTGA